TGAGGCTGAGGCAGAGGCACAGATACAAGCAATGGCATTGCCTTCGAGTGGGTGTCCTATCCAAGTCGTCCTGTCCTGGCTGTGCTTTGGCTCGTTGTCGATGCTGTGACAGTTTACAAAGTGCAGCAATTAAGTTGACAAATTGCTGGCTTTTACACACGGCAAAAAGGCGGCTCTGGCAAATTTGTAATGGCAACAGTGAAAACACTTAAATGAATTTGTTAACCATGCCACATCAAGACACAACGCACACTGCACAGATGCGTGCCAAGCATCTTGTGGATGGCTGCATATTAATCAAAATGAAATTTATCTGTAAAATGTATCATATAACAATGTATACAGGGTATACATATAGTTGAGTACACCTGTTTCATTGCCCCCCTGTTTGTTGCGACAAACATTTTATGTTAGAGCTGGCAGCACTTCCAATTTGTCAGTTTGTTTAATGGACGTCGACAAGTGTCAAACGACAAACACCTCCGCCCCTCCCAACCAAAAGCGCCCCGCAGCATTTGTTGCTGCGTATGTTGCTCGGTTGTTCGGTCTACTTAAAATATATTTTTCAGCCAACAACTATTTCAAGTGTCAAAGCCGGCTGTTCTTTGTGTCAATTTGAGCACTTTTCTCATTTGTGATTCTCTGGTAATCCGAGCTGTTCTGCTGCAATAACCGGGATGCACTTCAAACTAGTCAATGGCCATAGAATTTCTTTGGGAATCTGTCTGCATCTGTCAAATGGCATTATTTAATCGTAATTATTCATATAGAATTTGCAGCTGCCGTTAAGAAAAAAAAAAGAGAAGAAAAGAAGAAAAATACGACTGTCAAACGCCTACACGATTTGAACATTTCTTTGGATGATTTTGCTTTTTCGGCAAGTCGTGTGCAAATTATAATTTATTTTCGTGCCGTTTAGGCCCAGTAAAGTATAAAACATACAATTTATATATGCAGTATTTTCGTTTTCATTGAAAGATATTTTTGCTGGCACAATTTATAGAAATTATGTATGATATACGTATATGTGTGTATATATTGGAATAATATTCATACGTAGTGCTTATGCTAAGCACAATTTCGCTGGCTGTCTGCAATCGTTGCGCCCAATTTCCGCACTGGCCTTCTTCAGCAAGAAGCGAACCGACAAGGGTAAGGACAAATTGGCGAGGTCTGCTCGGTAAATGGAAGCGACGCCAGTAATTTTCATTGAGATGGTTCTCTTTCACTTTCGTTGGTTGTCAAACAAAACAACAAAAATGAAAAGCAAAAAATGCGTACAAAAAATGTGACAATCAAATTTGATATGTGACTTTGGCATTGACGTCTATGCGAATTGTCGATCGAAATAGTTGTTGGTGGTGGTAAAAATAAATTGAAATCTTGTACAAATAAATAGATTTATGTTTTGCACCAACTCAACTTGACGAAGGCCACCGAAAGCCCCACAATACAAATATCAAAGGTTGCACTCACTTTGAATACATTAACATAACACATTATTTTTGGCTCATTTTCTTAACCAACAATACACATTTATATATTTTTTTTTTTTTCTGTTGGGAGTCCATTCAAGAACGTCTACAAAGTAAATAAAATATCTGATTAACAAAATTTATTTTTGTATGTTTGAAAATAGATTTTCTATCATTTGAAAATGAGGAAATTGCAAAGAGCACGTTTTTATACTGCAAACAACATAATCATATTTTATTATAATTTTTATAGCTCTTGTTAACTGTTCGACAGCAATCAGTGCTGCAGTGCTCTGCTGTTGTTTATGCGGGTTTTTACAAGCAAGCTAGCCAGTCTGTCAATCAGTCAGACAGTCAGCCAGTCAGTCAGTCAGTCAGTCGGCCATACGCAGAGAAAGAGACTGACACTTAAACCAATCTCAATGAGACTTTTGCGGTTGAGACAAAAATTGTTTATTTGCCCGTCACGTTTGTCTGCTGCAAAAACCAGCTGGGCAGCACCACTGAGCGGGGTGTGGTGTGGCATGCTGCGGTGTGGTGGGGTGGTGCGCTGTTGTAGACAACTTTATCTGATCGTCTTCAACGTTGCGATTATTGTGGGCGTTTATTTTGAACGCATTGTGATTGTTATGTAATTGCGAAGGGGCGACGTGTTTATTTTGCAGTCAAATTTCGCTGACCGAGTTGTGTAAGCCCACTTGCCCCTGCCCTTGCCACTGCCTCCGCGCTGCCCCTCTCTATATTTATGACCAGTTTTGGGCAAGTGTGTCGCTGGTTAATCCAATTGGATTTGGAGTACGACAAAGTAAATAACTCAATTGAAAGAAACTTAAGCTGTTTTCATCCAAATATAAACCTTAAAATATATTTCTTAGAAAATCTCTTTTTCTATATTGCTTTTTAGGAAGGATCTATTTGCCAGAGTATTAAGCAGTCGTTTAAGTTAGACCGCAAAGCTATTACGTGTTTAATTATGGACTTTTGATGTTGTTTGCAATGTTCGCGTTGTTTGCCAATGTTCTGAGTGACACACGAGCTCTGAAAACCGAAACGGCAAACTAAAATATGCACACATCAGCACATTAGTTGAGAAATGAGAGAGCCAAACAGGTAAAGGGAGAGGGAAAGCGGGAGAGAGAGGGACAGAGAGAGAGAGAGAGAGAGAGCGAGAGACAGAGAGAGAGAGAGAGAGAGAGGGAGAACTTAAATGGAAGGCAATCTAGCATGACAGTTCATGAAGGTTAAATTCTTGCAAAATTGTTTTGGTTGTTTTCTTTCTTTTTCTTTTCCTTTCCTTTTATTTATTTATTTTTTTTGCCACTGCAAAGCAGTATTTTTCGCATTCAACGTTAACAATAATTAAAACATATGCAAAGCTCCTCTGAAATTGGTAGAGCATGTTATATTTGTATACACTGCTGCCAAAGGTAGTCGAGCATATTGGTTTTGTAGAAGATGTAAAGCAGGAGTCGACAAGTGCGAAGTGTATAATACAGGTGGCAAACTGTATCATAGATTAAGCCGCGCCCATGCCACACCTTCCAGCGTCCCCTTTCAAGCACAACCAGGCACACTTTTCAATCTGCTTTCAGCAGTTCAGCATTTAGTACAACTGGTTCTCAGGGCGTTAGAGAGGCGTTTAAGTTGTCTGCGAAATGAAAATCTACTCGTTCTACTTTTGCATGCTTGTAAGCCATGAAATATTGTCACGCACAGCAGCGATGCACAGACCCAGGAAGGGGGAGGGGAAAGGGGGTGGCTATGGAGGGAGGGAGGGAGGAGAAATCAGACGGTCATTCGTCGCCTGTATAAATACGTTTCTAATGAGCGCTGCGTGGCGCTTTTTTTCTGCACTCATTACGCAGACCCGAGTTCCTCGATTGCAGAGACAACCCACAACCCACAAACCACAACCACCTCTCCACCTCTCCACCTCTCCTCCTTTGTCACCCTATTCATCCCTTGCCCCCTACTGTTCTCTGGCACTCTTTGGTCTCGGCGACAGTCGCCTGCTGTTTGGCCCGTAATTTATGACTTGATTTGCATTAGTTTTATTGCAGTTTCGAGTGCTGTCCCCCTCCCCAGCCCACCAGTCGTAACTGACGTCATCGTCTTCGGTTCTGAGTTGTGAGTTCCTAATTAATTACACACAACTGATAAAAATACACATACGCTGAAGTGGGCAACATACAAAGCAATTCATTCACATTCCCATTGGCATTTGCAAATGGCAGGAAATACAATCCGATTGCCGCAATACTAATTGCCACTGCTTTTATAGAGCTCGTCACTTGTTCATGAGTATTCATGCAATGACTGAAGTGGCAAAATGAATGACGCCTTGAATTGCTATTGGAAGCTTATCAGCAACAACATTTCGAGTTCCCTTTGATTCATTGCAGCGCTCAAAGTTCGAACGAGTTCCGATTAGCCTTATCATTCTATGAATCAGATATACACAAAGAATACCAAAAATGCTCTGAGAAATTTTCAATATCAAACAGAAAACTACAAAATAGTAAATGAATATCGCATGTCAGAGGTGATTGATTAATGATTGCGACGAGATATCTCAGAGTTCATTAAACTTCAAATGTGAAGCGAGAATATGAACTAGTGTGAAATGCCAGGGCAAGGAAGATATTGACGTGGCTAATAGCAAATTTCAAATGCTGCAAATATAAACATTTAAACATTGTATAAGCCACAGATGTGGGCGGAGGTGTTACATCACTTGTCTGCTTGGTGGTCTATGGCAGAATTGGAAAATGAAAAATGAAAATGAAAATTGGAATTACGTATGAGTATTGTGTGTGGCAGAAACAGCGACAAAGCGCAATGCGTATACGCGATGTGAGTCTATTGGCAAAAGCAATAGCAATACGAAGGGTGAGGGAGGGGGGTATTGGCTGACTGACTGCTGGCTGAAAATAGATCAAGCAGAAAAGAACTCGAAAGCAAAGTGAAGAGAAACGCAATTGCCAAACGCAAAGGCAAGCAAATCGAGAAACTGTACAGTCAAATAATGTGAATATATATATGCAAATAGACAGACAGACTCACTGCCAAACAGTCAAACCGTCAAACAGTGTCCGATTGGGCAATGAATCAGGCACGTTTACAACACCAGTCCAAAGATACATTTCACGATGACCTAGAGATACATTATAATCTTTTTGGCGCCTATTTATCTAATATACGAGCGAGCAAGCGCGAAAGAATCTCGACTATTTTAATATTACAAATTAAATTATGGCCCCAACAGCAAAAATAATGAATGCATTTTGCCAGTGACGAGTGAGAGAGAGAGAGAGAGAGAGACAGAGAGAGAGAGACAGAGAGAGTGAGAGGGACGTAACTATTAGCGATATATGTATCTGGCAGATACTGTATCTAGCTAACGGCGCAGAGCGCAAAAATTAACAGACAGAGAGAGAAATATTTTTTTGTTTGTGGGGAGATGAGAAAGAAAATTTCGGATAGAAATCCGCGCAGCCATTTCGAAGTTGCTAAAAATAAACTCACCTTGAAAAGTTTCTAAAAATTTTTGAATATATTTTATCTGTATTCGGCCGCTGTTGCTGTCTGTCCGCTGTATCTGTGTCCGTGATCTGGCCAAAACTGATACGACGTACTAAATTTTCTAGCTTCTTGAATCCAGAAAATGTTTGCTGCTGCCACTCTTTTTGTCGTTGCTGTTGTTGTTATTGTTGCTGGTACCGCTGCTGTTGTTGTTGTTGTTGTTGTTGTTTATAGCCACCGTTTAGCGAGTGCCAAAAGAAAATTTTATAATATTTTTTGTTATTGTTTTGTAGAAGAATTCGAAACGGTTGGTTAATTTTTGTACGCGAGTTTTTTGTTTCGTAAGGGCTTTAGCTATATATATATCTATATATATATATATATATATATCTATATCTATATGTATATATATATATATATATTTAAATGAGTGTATATATAATTTTGTTGTTGGGTTTTCGGTTTAACCTTCAGAAACCATGCACAGAAACTTACACAAATTTATTTACAATAACACAAGCACTAGTTAAGCCCTAAAAAAAAGAAAGAGAGAGAGAGAGAAAGAGAAATTTGATTTATTACGTTATTTGGATGATTGATAACACAAGTATTATATTATTGTTATCGATACTATTATTATTGCTGATGATGTCAGCTCTCAGTTACGCATTTGATTAACTCTTTTTTTTCTTGTTTGCTTGTTTTCTGTTTGTTTTATGTTGGAATTCACTAGTGAATTTTATAGAAAGTACAAAATAAACATGCACACATATATATATACATATATACATATATATATATATAAATATAGATATTCATGTGATCTATATACACACTTTTGCTGATGATGGTTTCGTTAATTGATTGACTTTTTGTTTTGCGGTCTGTTCGAGGTGTTTTTTGGGGCGACGTTAACTAAGCGACGATTTTCTCTCAACTAAAGCAAAAACCGAAACCGAAAATTCTTATGTGAAATGGTTTTTCGAACTAAAAATCTTTTCAAGCAAGTGGCAGCTACGCCTCCGTCGGCGTCTCAGTCGACGGCGCTGTCAACAACGCTGCCTGCATTTTGGGGCCATGCCACAGTATTCATATACCCTGGACCCATTAAAAATGGCGGCAAAGGGGTATCATGCAGTTGTGCAAATGTCAACAGGCAGACAAAAAAACTCAACATCACATAAGGTATGTATATATATATACACATACTGTATAAATATAAAACAAATAAGACAAAAGATTTTCTCGACAGCTCAAAGAATTTATACTCTTGCGTTTCAATATTTCAAAATTGTTGTCCTTAATTAATTTTATTCAGTTTGTTTCTTGAAATCCACAGAATTTGTAGATAATAATAAAGTATATATTTTTTGCAAGAGAAGTGGAAAAATAAGAAACACTTTGCTGACATTATCTATATACTATGGATCAATATCAACGGATATCGCATTTTGATGTGGTAGTAATTGGTATAATATTGATAAACTGTGCAAATTGAATGAAGAAAACCAGCAATTGTCCATAAAATTGCATACTTAGCATTTTCTGTGCATGCATAGAATGCATGCTCAATTGCAAATGTGATTTTATTTGTTATTATTATTTATTTTTTATTAACATACATTTTTTAATGTTGAACGGTGCAATATTTCGAGCTAGTCACGATGTTTTCAATGAATACAACATCTATGACTCATGAGAGTTAAAACCTTGGCTACAGGGTATCTGGATGGGCGTGCTTTCTTTGCTTTGCTTGGGCAATCTTGTGTTTTTCTTTGTGTTTTTGCTCAACTATATGGCCGCTATATGTTGTACTCGTCTACACCCAGACGTTGCGACCGACGCAGAAACCGAAAGCAGAAGAGCCCCATAAAATCAAACTAAAAAAAAAAAAACAGCAGCCGCAGCTGCAGAGACGGAGGCAGCGACAGAGGCAGCGGCAGCGACAGAAGCAGCGGCTGGCAAAATCTGTTTGAGTTGTGTTCTTCTTGTTGATTTGGCTTGTGCATATCGCAATGTGTCTGCATATGTATATAGTATATATGTATATATATATATGTATATATGTATACATGTGTGTATGTATTTTGTTATTTTGCTAATTGTTTGTATTTGGTTTACATTGCTTTCTAGCGTCTGCAGGCATTGAAACATCAAACGAACATTTGTTTTCAATTGTTGCAGGTGCTTTCGTTTCCGAATTTCAATCCTCATTTCCCGTAATAAATATTCCTTAATCTGGAACTGCTGGTTCGCACCAAAAGGGCAAATGATAAGCTCCACAGAGAACATTCATTGTATACATCAAAACACATTTAAGCTTATCTTTTCTTTGTATTTTGGAAAGGCTCCAAATTAGGAAATGGAACAAGTACATATGTGTGCTCGTCTAGGAGATTAACATGTAATCAACCTATATTGAGACTATTGATTGATTCTCGATTAGAAATAACTTGATCAAATTACACTACTTAAGCAATTATTGAAAATCTTACAAATGTGTTAAGACAAAGAATGTAAATTTATTCTTCAAAAACAACTAAAGAAACTCTAAAATTATAAAATAAATATTTGTGGGATATACTCTTCCCTAATTCTACTCTTCTACCATTCCCTAATTTCAACGATTATTCATATTTTGACTGAATTTGGATGTATCCCTTAAATATTAGACTAGCTTTATATACTTTATAGCAATGCCATATCGTGACAATAAAAATACAAAATACTTTTTATGATAGTTTCAAAGAATAAGTAAAATATCTCACTGTAAAGTGAAATGATGAAATTGTACTTATTCTTTTGACCATTAGTGTACAAAATGATTCCCCCTTTACATGTTTTCAATGGTTGCAGGTGCAAAAAAAAAAAGAAAACAGAATTCTTTTAATCAGTTAAGAGATTAGCAGCGAAACAAATTATCTGGCTGACAGGAGAGCTTGAAAATATATGTTTGGCAAAATAAAGACACTCGTATCTGGAGAACACATCGTATGACATCATATGAAAAGACAGCCAAGCAGCTATCTATTAGTAAATGTAATTAAAAATTGGGTAATACCAGAGCAGTCTATCAGTGAAAAATAAGAAACAAAAACAAAAAACATCTTCAAATGGGGTCTCTGCAAGGTCGATATGAAATCAAATTAAAGCATTCGAAATCGAAAAATCGTGCAATGTCTTTTATGGGGGGGGGAGCATTTGGGGCATTTTAATTAAATTCAACTTCAATTTGAAATAACAATCATAATTCCCTGGTGCAATATTAAATGATGCCCAGCCAACTTAAAAATGTTTCATTGATATTTACAAAAATATTTAAAAAAAAAAATGGTATTTTTATGTGTGTATATTACAGAATATATAAAACAAATTTGAGTTTTGGCGTTGTGTTGCATAAAAAGCTCAAGCGATTTAAGCAACACAGCCAACAACATCAATAAAAAACCACAAAAGTAATAATCAATAAATAAACAAATATATCGCATTTAATAAACTCTGACAGCCACAAAAACAATTTCAACATTTTAATTAAATCATGTTGCACACAGAGAATCATAACTAACAACACAGAAAAACGAAACAAAATAAATAAATAATAAATCGCTGCGTAACTCAATCAAATAACAAAAACATTTTGTCTCAAATGGACAAAGAGGGAAATGAAGAAAATTATTTTCGATAGGGCAATAACGACTCGTACTAAAAGAAATTAATACTATGATATTTCGAATGTTTATTTTCCACAGCTCGACTGACTGATGAACTGATGAGCTTCAACAAGCTGATGGCGGTAATTAAAGTCGCAAATGTTAATATGGCCGATAAGCAGATAATTAAAGTCACTCGTTTTACGGTTTGCGGTTTTTGTGCGATGACAACAGTTATGCAATATTTATTATTATTTTTTTTGTTTATTCACTAATTTCTTTAATAGCCTTTTTCACTTTTGCTTTTTGCGGATTTTAATGTAGATTTAGCTGTGTCTCTCTTGCGCTACAATCAATTGTTGGCTCACTGCTGGTTGCCAAATCACACACAAGCATAAATCGCTTTTAATATATCTTTTTTTTCTGTTTTGAGAAGCTGTGTGAGTCAACAAAGGGTAGCCGAAAAAAACTGGCCATGGCTCAAACTGAGGCCGAATGAGATCTTTATGAATCATTTAGCTCTTAATGAAGCCGGTTTCAAACTCAAACTCAAGTCATTGTATTAGCCATGATATTTGCAATAAGCAATAATCAATATAAAACACGCACTGTGCAACACTCACTTTTGTGGTTGTTGTTGTTGTTGTTAACACTTTAATTCACGTATGACGCAGAAATGACTAAAGTTCTGTAAATGGAGTATAGACGAAATCATAAATCCCGATGCCAAGCGACAAGCGAAAATACGACAACAGCGCGCGATCGTTGCTTTCAAACGAATGGCACAAGCGAAGCCGAAGGCAAACGATCCCAGCGCTGAAGTCGCTGCCAGACACACACACACACACACAGTGAACGCATGCAGGTTACGCTCACCCACACAAACAGATAGCAAAGAGGGAGAAAGAGAGAGAGAGAGAGAGAGCGAAAGAGTTGCTTTGGAGAGCGCAATGCAACTGAAATCAACAGGTAAACGAAAGGTGAAAATACACACACAAAAAACACACACACATACAGACACACATAGCGCACTTGCGCCAGCGCATGTGTGTGTGTTTGTGGTTGTGTGTGTGTGTGACTGATAAGATAAAAACGAAAACGCTAAAGCCGAAATTCTATGAAATCATTTTCGAATGTTGTTGTTTACTTTTGTGTTTTTTTTTTGCGCACTTTAAAACTTGAGAAATTTATTTGTATTTGCAGTCATTTTGGCAACATTCAATCGCAATTTGTTGGCGTGGAATATGATCAGTTTGTGGCTTGTGGCCGAAGTTGCAAGTTATACGGTTCTATATTTAGGTTGCATGCCACAAGCAAACAGCACGCAAAAAAAAACACAAAAAAAAATAAAAACTGGTTACTCCAGTTTCCCTGATAATCTGGGTGACGGCTACAACAACAACAACAAAAACAGCAGCAGCAGCAGAGGCGTCTCTGATTCTTGTTGCAACTTGGGCTGATTTTCCTTTTTAGCGCCCCAAAATAATAAAAAGCAAAAACACACAGGAAAAAAGCGAAAAAAAAGCAGCAGGAACAAAATGCAGCCAAAACTGCGCAGTTGCTAAAAACCGGTTGCCACGCCCCTCTCTGCCCGCTGCGCCCTGCACAGGCCTATTCCACTGGCTGTCCCTTTATTTTTTCGATATTGACCAACACTCGAAAACTGCAGTGAATCCCCTCCACCCACCCCCTTGGCAAGCTTCTGCCAACACACTTCATTCAGAAGTGAGAGCAAGTCGGAGCGAGAGAGCCAGCGTGGACAGCGAGAGTTAGAGCGAGAGAGAGAAACAGAGTCAAAGTCTGAGTCCATCTTTTTTTGCTAATGGCTGTAAATCATTTTGCAGCTATTCTGTTTCTTTTTCGCTTGTGGGAAGGGAAGGGAAAACGGCCGACAAATATCCCAAAAATGTCACGCATGCGTTGCTGTTGTTCTTGTTGTTGTTGTCGTAATTGCAATCGGCCAGCGACAAAAATGTCTTTTTCTTGCTGCTTTTCTTGTCGGACAAGTTGAGTGAATTCAACAAAGCAAACGCGATGCAATTAACAGGATTACTGTCCATAACAAGTTCAGCTACACAAATAAACAAAGGAAAAAACGGAAAAAGTTCGTAATTATTTGCAATTAAATTTATTTGCTGTTTTTTTCTTCAAATTTGGCGCTGTGCTAAGTCGTGGCACATAGATGGCGCCAGCCAGAGTCAAGACTCAATGCGCTCACAACTGTTTTGTGTGTTGCCACAACTCTGTTAGTCAAGTCGCACACCTTTCAAGCAGTGCAACGAGTAGTTTGGGAAAATACACAATGACCCCAAAACTGATAGAACTATGCTAAGCGAAAATTTTAATATAACACAGTTTGGGGAATGTTGGAGATTTGTGGGCAATTTTTGGGAAATTTCGTAATTGAAATTTGAATTAGGAATTGAAATAAAGAATATAAATTAGAAATAAAAGCAAATTTATTCTTATTTCACTTTGCGAATACTTTATAATGCATATTTTCTTAAATAATAAGAAATATCAAGTTTCAGAAATTCATTCATAAAAAATTAATTTAAATAATTTTGTCGTTTTTTAGAAAAACTCAATGCGTGAAGCATTTTTAATATGATAAATGATATATTTTTGGGATTTCCTTTAAACAAACGCACTCGAGTCACGTACTCGATTTACTATTTTAGACAACTGACAAAAAGCGGCAAATGCATTATTTGGTATGCTTCAAATAACTGTTAGTTTCGCCATTTAAATTTAGATGCGAACATTTGCAATGAATTCTACTGGGATTTGTAAGCTTCTCTCTTGATTTCTGAGCTACTATTCTTATTTTTTATTTGAGTGTAAATTAATTATTAATGTAGATCATGATCAGTTTGATTGCACATCCACAAATGGCCAACAAACTGAGCAAGTTTGCCACTTGCCACCTGCCACTTGAGCGGTGTTGATTTTAAATTGAATGATTACCCCTTATCCATCGGAAGGAGGAATGGAACTAGATGTAGGAGGGGAGGGAAGAGGGGGTGCCGTTGAAGGTGTTGACGGAGGCGTCTCTCCTTGCGAGTTGTTTACAGTGCATTTTGTCAGTTTCAGTTGTGTCTCAATTGCAATTTGATTGTCAAATTTTTTACCTTGCCAGATCACATTTATAGATTGTTTTTATTGTATTTCAATTGGTTTCCAAAGGGGTCGACACTTAAGTTGGCCACTCATTAAAAATACACAGCGTCAAATTTGTTCGAATACCATTTAAGTGTTTTTGGCCCAGTGACACTTTTGGCCAAAGCAGCGGCTTATAGAAACACGTGCATTAATTACTTTGTCAAGTTTGATTTTAAGCCATCCAATTTGAGGCCACGAATATCATTAATCGTATTAAACCAAATAGCAGATTATAAGTAGCAAAACAGTCAACAGTCAACAGCTGCTGTTTAAGGAGGAGATTAGCCAAATCTAGCTACCACTGCATATTCTACACTCTGAATAAAAAGTCGGCATTAATCTTAGACAATCTGCTTGCTTTTGGCTTTATATGGATAACTCATATAATTATACAGGAAGTATATTTCTGAAACGGAAGATTGTGTCTATCTAAACACTAAATTTTCTAAAATGTAGAAGAAATATATACAATTTCAGACTTTTTATATTAGTTTATTTTTTAATAGTAGTATTTTAAAATTTCACATATATAAACAGTTCAGATAGCTTATAAATTCAGTAATTTAATTTGAATTATTCAGAAATGTTTTATTATTTAAATAAAGATTTGCATTTGCAGAAAAACTTTCTAGTTTTTGGGGCGACTTTCTAAAATTCAGGACGATTTCTTTCTCAGTTTTAAAAAGTCATCTCGAAAAACACACGTGGATTATATACAAAACATACTCATGAGGTTCTTACTGCAGGGTCATATATAAATGGAAACAAGTAAAGAAATCCAGTCCTAAGCAACCGCTGACAACCCTTGGCAAAACTCCCCACGCTGTAATTTGTGGCCATGGCAACTGAGTGCTAGTTGCAGTAACAAACAGAAACCACAACAATTATTCCAACTTCGCAAAGAGCTTTTTTTCACCCAGCCACACAGCAGCCAGCTGCCACAGGACTAGAGTTGATGTACGAAGCTGGCAGCGAGCAGATTAACTGCAACGGAGCAGTCATTCAGCTACCCTCGCTGGAGGTGGTTAAAACAGGTGGGTGGATTGCGAGGATTACTTCAAGTGACCTAGTCGCTATGACCTTTTTGACTGCTTCAATTAGCACCCAAAATGCCGACAGATGCAAACATTGACTGGCTGCTTCACATTTATTTTACACGTCGCCAATTCGAACGCTGTCGCCGTCTCATCGAACGTGAACTGAATCGTCATTTGAATGCCGAGTATCTGTACTTTGTCCAGGTGAGTGGGCAGGTGTGGCCAGGTGCGGCAAGTTTGGCGACCTCAAATTATTGTGTCCCTCGCTCCATCTTCTGCATAGGGTTTAATTGAGCGCGAAGATGGCAATAATATTGAGGCGCTGCGAAACCTCCAAAAAGCTGCCGAGCTCAACTCGCGCAACATCGAAACATTCAAGGAAATCGGACGCACTCTGTATGTCAATGAGTGAATACCATCCATCGAAAACTTAGCCAATCTTCTTGCAGCTACAACATGGGTCGCTTTGACCAGGCACTGGATGTGTTCCGCGATGCCGAGCAGCAGAGTCCGCGCAAGGATCACGAGATCTATCACTATTTGGGTGAGCTGCTTTATCGCGCTGCAGCCAGCCAGCCAAAGCTTGAGTTGGCCACCGCGCAGCAGACGGAGGCCAGGGGCTACTTCGAGCTGGCCGTGCAGACGGGCAAGAAACTGGAGAGCTATGTGAGGCTGGCCGAGCTGTATCGCAAGGAGAAGGAATACCAGAAGGCCATCGATGTCCTGGAGGCATGCTTGCAGTGAGTGCACATTTTAATTATGGATTAGAAACGGGTAAAAAGGGGTATGATGTAGAAGGAAGCATCTTCAACCTCATAAACTATATATATATATGCTTGAACAACCGAGTCGATCTAGCCATATCCGTCACTATTAACAAAAGCATCTCAGAAACTATTCGAATTTGGAAGATCTCGTTTATCATGCGTAAATCGAGCTCAATTTCCCTTATCGATATGATATCGATTGCAATAAGATCCATAATTTCACAAGTATATATATTAAATTTATACAAAATATACGTTGAGATGTCATAAATCAGCTGTTCAAATTTGATCAAAATCGGATAAGCACAAAAGATTTTCTGTATCGAACCAAGCTTTGATTTTAGAATCTGTCTTTTAATCAATATAATGTATACAACATCTGTGGCAGGGTATCTGCTAGTCGAGCTCTCTCGACTAGAACATTTTCATTTGTTTTACAACTTTCGCCTGCAGCCTGACGCCCGAGAATGCTGAGGTGCTCACAGAAATCAGTGTTTTGTATCTGAAGATTAATGAGACCCAAAAGGCCTACGATCGCCTGGCGGAAGTGGTCAACATCGAACGCAACTGTGCCCCCAAAGGTCTGCTGGCCCTGGGCGCCATTCTGCAGGTGAGTTAAAGTTTAAACATATATCCACAACTGTGTATCTGCATTCATATATCTTCAATCCAACAAAAATCATTTATTCGCAAATCATGCGATGACATTTAATTTAATTCATATGGTCAGCATAGAAAACCAATAGCCTAAAATATTCATTGAATTTTTCGTGTATATTCATTTACATATTTTCAAATCAACTTTCCGTACACTGACGGATGAATCATGAAATCACATTTAATTTAATTCATACGGTCAACATGGAAAAACATAGCCAAAAATATTCATAATGCATATTTAGTTACATCTTTTTTCAATTGAACTTTAAGCGCAATTTAAGCACATTTTTTGTTAGTTTGTCACACATATTTTAGTTGCAATTTTCAATTCAATTTGAAGTATATTTGCAGCAGACTTATTTTAAGTTTTACGTGCTTAGAGATATCCGCTCTGCTGTTGACACACAATTTACAATTTAAATTGACAGTCGCGCAACGATGTCGATAGCGCCCTGAGCAAGTACAGCCAAATCGCAGATGCCGAGCCGGAAATTGCTGAGCTCTGGAATAATATTGGCCTCTGCTTTTTCAAGAAGCAAAAGTTCATTGTGGTAAGCAGCTGAAGAGGCCCAACTTCAATATGCAGATACAACAACTTGAAATCTTGAAATCCAATCCAATCGATTGCAGGCGGTTTCATCACTGCGCAAATCCGTTTGGCTATCGCCCCTCAACTATAACGCTCTCTACAATTTAAGTCTGATATATATTGCCTGTGAGTAGAACCAAGAACCAAAAAAACACACTCAATCCAACATGGATTACAACATGAAATATGAACAGAGAACAATAACAGGCAGCCGCAACAGCTGCAGCAATTATTGCATTGGTTGGCAATTTATTGCAAGCCGATTAGTCAGCGGGTAGTTTAGACTAGTTAAATCAGTTGAATACCCTTCCAAATGAAAGTTCTAAGAGAATACATAAAAGAGAAAAATATTGAAATCAATCAATCAGTGGATAATCTTAACTAGAAGAATACCCTTTTATGTGAAAGTTTTATTCAAGCAGTTCTTTGACAGTGTATAATATATTTGAAGATTAAATCTGTAGAAATAATCCTGTTGTAAGACTTAAAATTTAAATGTCAATTTCCCATCCTTGAAGCACAGACTTTTTGGGTCACTAAAAGGACTTGTCCTTAGCCTCAACCATAAAAGTAAAAGGTAAATAATAAAAAAGGGGCCAGGGTGGGGAGCGTTGTCTATTCATAAATTTCATAAAAAACAGCAACAAGCAGGAAAAACAACATTTAATCAATTCAAGGACTGTTTTCATTATAACTAGGCCAAACGGCTTTTAACATTCATTGTTGTGTATGCCTATTTTTATTTTGTACTTTCTTTTTATTGTTCATCCGATGCTGACCTGGTCGCAACAAGCAGCGGAACAATATGCGAGCGCCTTTCACACGCTGGCCGCAGCCATAAACCTGCGCAAGGACAATGCCGAGTGCTACATGCTGCTGGGCTGTAAGTGTTGCCAATAGCATTGAGGTGGCACTTTGTGGACTGAACACTGAACACATTTGTGTGTCGCCTAATTTGAATTGTTTTCGTCGTAGTGTGTTTGCGCAAGTTGGACGATTTGGAGAATGCTTTTGTGGCCCTTGAGCGAGCCTGCCGGCTGGCCAATGGGCAGCAAGGTGGCATGCGACATCCCCTCGTATTCCTCAACTTTGCCCTTTTCTGCTATGAGACAGGACGACTGGCACTGGCAACGGAACACTACAATCGATTCATGAGCCATGCCCAGGACCTGCTGCTGCCCACCGAAGTAAGTCGTGAGTTCTATCAGCGCGCCCAATGGCTGCTGGTCGTGCCAACTGATTAGCAGTTCCTACCAGTTTCCACAAACCATTTGATTAAAAATCTGAAAACGACGCATTTCTGTAGCCTTCTCAAATGTTAAATACAACAAAAAGTGTTATTTGCAAAATTAAAGCCCCAAAATTAAATCAAAGTAAATGCAAAACTTTTAATTGGCTGTTCAACATTAACATGAAACCACTTTCATGTCCTCTATGGCCCCAATACAAACTAACAAAAAAAGGGTTGGCAAAATTGTATAAAAATTGTGTTAAGTAAGAATGATCTAGTAGAGAGATATCGACTAGAAGATACCCTCAACCCTTTAAAGCAATTAAAACACAGATTATAATTGGACTAATTGGCAAGTGATACCTTTAAAATTGGGGCTTTTAATGGTGTCAACAATCGATAAAGATCGATATTCGCTAAAGGGCGAGAGTTATCGATAAAACAAAATGAACTTATATTAAATATTTGCATAACTAGTCTTAAAGTCTCGCAGATCCGCTTGTTCATGACTAGATCGAATCGCCTATTGATGCTGATCAAGAATATATATATATATATATATATATATATGTAGAGGCTTCCTTCTGTCTGCCACATACTTTGGCACCCTTTTTACCATTTTTATCCATTTTTAATGAGTCCAGGCTATATAAATGCCATTAACCAGATTGCATGCCACACACTGAGCATTTATTGAGTGGCTACTTGCCACACACTCATTTTTTTATGGGTATATGTAAACAAGGCGGTCACTAAGTATCCTGCCAAATTTCACAAAGTTTACCCAAAAGCAAACTCCCAAATTTTAATCTAGATTATTGTTTACTAATGTGGATTTGTGAATCGTTGTTTGCTCGAGCGGCTTAGACACATAGTGCTTATGCGTTGTTCTCTGCCAGTTTAAATTCCAGGCAACCAAATTGAAATCGCTACTACGCATGTCAACACACAGCCATGGCATACTGGGAGATGGGGCGGATGCTGCTCGAGATGGCGCTGTAACTGGAGTGGAACAGGGGCAGCAGCTGGAGCTGGAGCCGGCGGCCTTGCAGGAGGAGATGCCGCTGGAGGTGAATGCCGTTGTCAGCGAGAACTGAGTATTCCACAGGACGGGAGGAAGGGGAACAATAAAAACAAGAACAACATCTGCTTAACTCACATCGAACATTTATTTGAACTTGCTCAAAGTCAATTAAAAATCAGTTTACTCGAATAGCATTAAACAATAGTTGAAGCCAATGAAAATCCATTAGCGGCACTCTCTTAACTTAATTATAATATAGATATTTATATAGATGTATGTTTTGTGTGCATATTTAATGAATTATTATCTGTTGAATATTATCAAAGGTCAAGTTTGAAATGGACAAGAGAACAAAGAAGCTTTGGGGCTCGTCGGCTTTTTATTCTCTTGTCGCATTTCCCTTTTCAGTTGAAATCTCGATTTCAAATTCAATTTAGTTGTTTGTTATTTTTCACATACCTAATTTGATTTGAATGTGTGCAAATTGAATGCGTACAAATTGTATTCAACTCTTATAGAATAATTAAAGTTAATAAACGCTGGTGTTCCTTCCCTATCTCAGATGGCATATTAATCATAAATAGATCAATTTACAGTTTAAATATATAAATATTTGGTAAATATTTGAATTGTGTGCAAATCAGCCTAAGGAACAGTTTTACAAGTTAATACTAATTATGCTCATAGACCACACGGCAAATTTAAATGTCGCACTAGTCGCACTAAATCTCAAATTATGTGTCTGCTAAATAGAAATGGCACTTAATACCCTACTTCATAATTGTTGGCTCTCGGCCGATTCACCGAGTCACAGTTCAGCAACCGTTTATTATGCGCTGCTCACAGTTTCAGTTCAACTTTTTGAAAGTTATCGTTTTAGAAATTCAATTCATCTTTGAGATGCCTTCACCCAGATTTCACCCATTCTCCCAACCACTCAGCATGAAGCTCGTCTCCGCCTCCACCTCCGCGTCTGCATCCTCCTCCTCTGTCTCCCTTCGACGTCTAGGACGCCACGGCCTTTGATCCTAGACACAAGTGGTGGTGACACGGGTGAGGCGCGTCATCTCGCTGCTGCCAAAGTGCCGCTTGAAGAACAACGATCTGAATGTGGTGCGGAACTGCTTGGACATGAGACCGTAGAGCACAAAGCCAACGGCCGCATTTATCAGCGCCAACAGATCCATCAGTTCGCCAAACGGCGGATAGCAGTGGGCAAAGAAGCACTTCTCCAGCACGCCCGACAACAGACCCAGCAGTCCCTGTGGAAACTCCGTCACCAGAAACAGCACCAGGACAGCAACCAGCAGGAGCGTTGTCCGATCATTGCGTCGATCACAGCGAGGCGGCCTAGGCGCAAAGGAAGGGCATTTAAATTCCAAATAAATTAAAGAACTGACCGGAAGTTAATCAAATGAAAATGGCAGAAGAATCAGCAGAGTGTCCATTATTAAAATGAAAATCAATAAGAGTTACACTTACCGCCTCGATTTGGCCTCGCTTAGATTAAATTGTATGGCATATTTGGTCGGATTGTTGTAGTCCTTGAGCTTGAGACGGCGGCGCGAGGCCTCGCACAGGACATGCATGAGGACGAGACTGATGACGGTCAGAATGCAGCAGGGCAACAGTTTAATAATCACGGAATGTATCCAGAAGTTAAATCTAAACAAAAAAATGGAAAAAGAAGAGAGTGGAGCTGTCAGCTGTCTGCTAAACGGATGGCAGGATAAGCTCCTCGCTCACCTGAAGAGCATCGAGTCCACGTCAAAATACACATGGTACATGGCCTCGTGCTCTCTGGTGTCCACCTCGAGTGTCTCGCGCACCTTGAACACAAAGTACGTGGGCAGACAGAGGATGGGTGAAATGATGAAGGGGAAGAGGATCGCCTCTCTGGAATGTGCTAGCAGAAAATTGGCACAGCTCCCGTTTGGATGTCTGTGGATAAGAGATGGAAACAGTTTGCTATATAACAGAAAACAGAAAGAAGAAGAAAAAAAGAGAAGCCACATTGCCGCCGTGTTATTCAGAGTATAAGCGCCAGTTAAGTAGAATTTTTCCCATTACAGGTGTCATGCAGAGTGGCACCAACGCTGAGTGGCACTCACCTTATTGCCACATAACGCCAGACAGCCAAGGTCACAGTCAAACCAATCGAGATTGTGTGCAGAATCTGTGTGAAATGCATATGGACCAGCAAGTACACAGCCCAAGCATAGCTCAAGTCCTTTTCGCCTGCCAAAATGCCAATATATTTAAATAAATAACTGCCTAAATAAATATCGGAATATGGACAATGTGCTCACCTGGCTTCATATAGATGTACTGATATGTGGTATACGGTATATATTCCAGCATGACAAACATATCAGCGACGGCCAGCCATTTCAATATATTGTTAATGGGCGCCTTGGCCATTTCTTTTCTGGTCAACACCATTATATTCAAAATGTTGGCTATTGTGCCAAATATGCAAATCTGTAAGGGTAAAAATTGTGTAAGCGAAAGTGGCAATAGCTCAAACAACAACATCAACACATTGCACAACCATAAACAAAACCCAGCTCAGCTGACCAGGATAGATTGAAGGACCCAAACTGATGCAAAATTCATTTTTAACACCCACCCACACACACACATAGGCAACCCATTCATTTCACACACCTTTTGTGAAATGTTTTATTCATGACTCAGCCACATGATAAATATGAGATTTATATTTTAAATCTGCAGCAAACATCAGTGGCCACCCCTTGTCTATCTGTATTTTGTTGAATTGCCATTAAAACAAAGAATTTATATATTAAATTCAGATAGTTTAACATGTCATTGTCAAGCAGAATGCTTTAAATATTTGTGCTTTAATATGTTGTTTTTCAGATTTAAACTGCCAGCAAAAAGAGCATTTAATCTGTTGCAGCTTTTTGGCCTTTGCCATTGTTATTTAACAACTTTTTATTGTTTTTTTTTTTTCTTCGACCATTTTGGTTTGATATCTTTAAAGACAACTAATTGGTAAATCCCCTTTGCTGTTAAATGTTTGTGCCCTTGTTTTGGGCCAAAGCTTATGAATTATGTATACACACTAATTTATTTAATCGGTTTTCTCCGCCTTGCAAAAGGAAACGGCCAAAGTTCAAAAGTGTAGGGGAGCGCACAAATTCACAAGCGGACAATGGAAAGAACCCTTTCGGTTTCACTTGCGCAACATTCCCTGACATTTTGACGGGACTTTCATTAATTTTGCTTGGTCCCAGCAGTGGGTGGGTGATGTAAGGTGAAAAATGTCTTCGCTAGTGACACGACGACATCAGCATAATTAGCACTCTGTCTGCAGCACAGACACAGACACAGTCACAGTCACACTCACACACAGTATGCCTAATGAGCTACAAGCTGGCACATTTGCTTATCTTTGGGGAACTTACCAACAGGGATAAATAGCCATGAATGCCGTTGTAAGCTCGCAGCCAGGTGTAGATTTCGCCTCGACAGTAGCCCTGACACTCGTCCTGTTGTGAGTGGTTCTTCTTTTGCAAATCGAAGAGTAGCTTCACAAAGTCCTGAATGTCACTGCTCGTGATCTCCAGATCCTTGAGCAGCGTCTCATTCAGACTCACCTGTGCGTCCAGATGCGATTGTGCCATATTTATATCCTGCATTGTTTCGAATTCTATTTTCTTCGTATAACTTTTGGTTTTCCTTTAAATCATGCTGACCAGTCAAATGTTGCTGCAACGCGTGAAAAGATACAAGTAATTAATGTATTGACAGGTTCATTATCGCAATTAAGCAAATACCGTGTACAGAGTTCAACTTATTTGTCATAGATACGTATCTTATAAAATTACGTGACAGACTGCAAAATAAATACTCAAAGCGGGCACAAGGGACGCAATTAGCGTGTGGAGAACCAGTTAACAAAAACTAAGCCGGTAACAAAAACTCAAACCCAAACTCACGCAATAAGTCTATCAATATTGCGCTGAAAATTATGTGTATTTGAGAGCATGCACTTCAGATCACAAAATAAAAACAGTTATACAACAAGAGTTCCTTTTCATTAGTCATGTAATGGCCATGCCACAAATCATGCCATAAAATTGAGAGCTGTGTGCATCATTTGTGGCCGGCTGGCCAATTAAATGGCCAACGGCAGATGCCACATTTACTGTTGAGTTGTGCAACCTGCTGCCAGAATATAAACGGCTCTCTTTATGTTCAATTGCAGGCCACAGTAATTTCCAAATCCCAAACCGCATTGAGAGCAACATCAACGATGGCAATAACAAGCAACAGCCCGACCAAGCTGGCCAACAACGATAATTGATCGAAAAATTAATGTGGCAAATAAAATGGATGAAAGTCAGCTGAAACACCGAATATGAAATGCGCTTGCTATTCAAGCACATAAATGCGTAAAGCACATTGAATATCAAAGTTAGACGAGACTCTGTTGCCAGTGTATAATTAACCAGAACACACCTGTCGCCGTTGCCAGTGAACTGGGCGTAGCAGTTAATTGGCTAACGACATATACTAGATGCAGCTGCAACATTTCGGTGTGATAAACATTTGGGCGACATCGTAAATCAGTCAAATTTGGTAAGTTGGCAAATCAAAGTCTCGACCCAAATGTTCAGCATGTCAACGAAGGTGTTGCATTTGGCTAATGGGTCCGGGTGCAGGTCCAGGGGGCCAGACATCAAAATCCTGTTCACCGTTTGCGCAATTGCAATTCAAATTTTATTTTGAGTAACTCTGCCTCCGCTGCCTCCGACTGTCCGACTGTCCGACTATCCGTCTGTCCGATGATTGCCACACAACAGCCGCCAACTGCCAACTGCCAACAGCGAAAACACACATAAACTGGGCCTGCATCAACTTCTCAATATATATACATATATATATATACATGTGTTAGGTTGTCAAATCATTTGATTTTGATGGATATGCCAGACGTCAACAACAAACAACAAGAAAATTGTTGCTGCAGCAAACAGCGAAAGAATATATCAAACATTTTGTATTTCTGTGAGCTGCTCAATAATTTGTATTTATTCAACAAGCTTTTTCAATAATTTGCTTCAATGGGCGTAAATATTAAATGTGCATTAAATTCACAATTTTATGCTTATAAAATACGTATAAGAAAAATACAAAAAACAAAGCTATTAAAGTTCACAGCTTCAATTGCAAAAAACAAAGGAAAACTTCAATGTTCATCGCAGCAAAGTAATCAAATCATCAGATTTAACTGGAGACATGCTCTGATTACGAATCGAGCATTATTACTTTAATCATTATCCTCTTTAATATATGTGAATAGCTTTGCTTTTCCACAAAAACCAACGAGATATATTCAGTTTGCTTATTGCTCTTTGTCAGGCGAATGTTAAGTTTTTTTGGAAGTTCCGGCGGGAAATGGAAAAACCAGGTAGCGTTACGCAATTGAAAAAACCCCACATAGTGCGAGGCACACACACACACACATACACACGCACACACTCGCACAACAAATGGCGCCAACTGACAACTTTAGATAAACATTTGTTGTTGCCACTGGCAATGGTGCTGTTAATTAATGTTCTGTTACGCACACACACACAAACACACTTAGAATTTTTTTTTTGTTGCTCTGAACCATAACTGAAGTAAGAGCGTCGTTCGAGGAGCGTTTTGTTATCAGGAAGATGCTCATATATCCCAGCAGTCCCGCAGCGTCAATTGCCTTAACGATGCTGGCCATTAAAATGTAATTACACTCAAGTGCTTTTCATGTGAGAACTAAAACTGAACTGAACTGAACTGAAGTTGGCTTACGCATGTCAAACTTGGGTGTCGCCCAGCCCACAATTTTCCCCAAAGGCACAAAAAGAATTTTGCTATTTGGAATTCAATTTGAGTATGCCAAATTGAGAAGAAAAAGAGCTAACCATTTGTTGCTGCCTGTTTTTCCCAGCCGGGCAAATGTCTGTGCAATTTGCACAGATTGAAGTCAGAAATGGAATTGAATATATATTTATTGTGCGAATTTATCAAATGGTTTTATACATATACTCGTATATATATATTGCAATACTTATTGAAGGCCTTTACACAGTGAATGGTTTGAAAAATGTGAATAAACAAATGTATTCAATGCTTAAATGACAAATTGCGGCTGCCTGCATGAAATATTCAACTTAAAGCTGTGCATAACGATTTCATGTTCGATAAATTTCAGATTGAAAATAACAATTCTTGATAAAAGCACAGCTTACAACAAGCATTCAATTTTGGCTACTAAAAGCATTAATTGTGGCTGTTGAATTGAGCATTCAGAGTCAGTTTCTCAATTTATTTATTTAACTATATAAATTATACATTGTTAATATTTAGTCATGTTTACTACTGTTATGATTGCATTATAAATAACGAACACTTTACAATCCATATCCATTACAAATAATTTTATGCGTTGCGGACAAAGTAGGCACTCAGCGTGAGTGATTTGTGCTGTATTTCAAAAAATAAATATTCCAATTATAAACCAAATTCAATTTATGCGTCTGACTGAGTGTCCGTCGATTGTCAGATCAATGCAGCAGCACTGCCACACACACACACACACACACGCACGCACACACTTTGTGGCAAGCCGCAACTTGTTTGGTATAATTTTTGGACTTGATGTGGGCATACTTACAGCCAATGTGCGTGTTTTTCGATAGAGTTTTTCTTATTTGTTGCAGTTTTGCTGTTGTTGTTGCTGTTGTTGCTTTTCATTATTTGTTGTTGTCATTTTTGGCGTGTAAATAGCTTTGCCTAATGAGTGCGTTTGACTTAGTTTTGAGTGAGTTTCTTGGCAGTTTACGCACCAGAAAAACACTGTATAAATAAACAGATTCTGGCTGCAAACATCGTTAGTTCAAAGTTAGACAACGTGCAGTGTGCAGTGCGTAGAAGCCAAAGGCGAAAAAAGAAAATTCATTATGAAATTCACAGTAAGTTGGACATCAGCTTTATTCTGTAAATACCTCAGGGCAACTGTCAAACTTAAAACTTTAACTTAAGTTCAGAAATAATAAAGACAAACTCTTTTGCAAAATGTTGACTTGTACAAAAAACTGAGATAATTTCATTAAAAATGTTTGCAGTAATTGAAAAGAGCAAAGTTGGCCTTCAAAATGCATTAAAATATTTGCATTACTGCTTAGCAAAATTAAATGGAAAGATTTGCAGTTTTTAAGCCAATTTTAATGCCAATTAATTTGTTTCTCTCATTTTCTTTCATGTTCTTGTGCCATTTGCTGCAAATGAAAAATTCCTTGGGGAAAAAAAAAAACAAATGCAAATGGGATTTTATAGTTAATTTTGTTGATTGCTGGCATTGCTTGCATCGTGGCCGCACCTGTCGCCGAGGAGCAACAGCAACAGGATATCGAATCCTCTGCCAAGGCTAAGCGTGGCCTCTCCCTTGGCCTGGGCTACCACGCCCCCCTCGTCACTCACTCGCATTACGTGGCTGCACCAGCTGTCGTCCACCATGCCCCATTGATTTCGCACGCTCCACTTATTGCGCACGCACCGCTCATTGCGCATCATCCAGTCGCCTCGGTGTCCTATCACCTGCCCACCTACCATTCCTACAACTCTTACCATCATTTCTAAGCAGCAGCAGCCGGATCAACTGGCAGCTGGATGTGGCAGCTGGACGTGAAAAAATAGTCAACACGTCTGAATGCAAAAGCGACAACAACAAAACAACAACAGAAAATTTAAATAATTCTAGCAAGGAATAAGTTTTCCACTCGTTTTGAATTCAATTCCTTAAAATGTCCAACGTTATTTGTTATTGGCTTTTGTAAATAAATTTGTACAAACAGTTTTCTTCTGCATTTAAGCAAAAACTATCTTTTCAGTCAGAACTTTTGGTTGCCACAGGGCCCAAAACTTTATGCTTGGTGTGCGGTAAAAGTGGCAACCAACGAACAGCATCAGTTAAGCGCAACCTCTGCTGAGCACTTTCTGGTAACCAATTTGGACCGCAATCGCTACGCGGCACTGCTGCAACTGCTGACGCACAAGTGGGTAGCAACTTGGAGAACATAATCCCGGTAGTTATGCACTTATGGCATTTTCAAATGTTTCACAAGGCTGCAGCAGCAGCAGTGGCAGCAGCAGCAGCAGCAGCAGTGGCAGCAGAAGCAGCAGTGGCAGCAGCATTAACAGCAAGCATTAAGTTAGCATTGTGATTACGCACATTATACAACTAGCTTATTGTTATTATCATGTTGTAAATGGAGTTCATAACAATGCCCTTGCTGCATTTACGTTCAGTTTTCATTTTACAGCATCAAATCAAAGCCTAATTCCAGCTAACAGTCATTTGCTGCGCCCTTTCCCCCCTCTCTCTCTCTTCCTCTATGCCTTTTTTTGTTCATTATAAACTGTGTACTTAATGATATTGTATTTTGTATTAACGCATAAATTGTAATTATTTCAATACAGTTCAGGGAATCGGTCTAAATAATGATACATACGAGATTTGGCCATAGAAAATGTTTGTTGTTTACATCAGAGATTATAGCATACGGATTGGTTTGCTGCGGTAACCGAGGCTATAATTTTATTATATTATGCAATGAATATCATAATTTAATTTGTATATATATTTTAAGCTGCCTTAACTATAGTTATTACCAATTTGGGAATACCTACGAAATGAAACAAAGGATTTTTGTCAATTGGTGTACAATTAATACACATTTTTAGTTTGAATTTTACTTTAGATGCACCGCATTTCTTACTACACAATTAAACTGCAATCTGATTAAAACTAGGTGTTGACTGAATTCCATGAAATTTAGTCGGAGAAGCTGTCGCTCCAGTAGGTCGTCGTCAGTGGTGCTACCGACTTGAACAGATCCCTGCCCTGGCTTGGATGGCCCTCGATACTCTGGCGTTTCACTTTCTGCTCCGAATGGCGATTGCAATTAGTGCTCTGATGGCGCTGCAGTCGCGTCTGGGTGAGAAACGTGCGCTGGCATCGCTTGCACTCGTAGATAATGCCGTGCTCATCATGGCTAAGGGCCATGTGCCGCTTGAGCTCGGCACGCAGCCGAAAGACCTGGGCGCACAGCTCGCAACGGAACTGGGCACGTTCCGCTGCATGGCGTTCCATGTGCGTCTTGTAGGCGCCACGCACTTTGAACTTCTTGTTGCATATCTGGCAGTGGAACTCTTGACGAGAATCATGCATCTTGCGGTGCATCACATAGGATTGTTTGCGTTGAAAACTTAAATTGCACTGGTCACACTCGAAGGGTCCCTGGCTGGCTGCTGTGGCGCTGGATGGTGATGTTACACGATTCTTCTTCCTTGGATGATCCTCGTCATAGCTATTGTTCGAGCCGGACGCACGTTTCATGCCCTTCTTTCGACCACGTCGACGGCCTGGCTTGCGTTTCTCGCTAATGTCCGAGTCGGCAGAGTCGCTGTCAGCGCTGGTGGAGCCCGCAACATCGGACACCTTAAATTCCACATCGTCATTGAGCTCCTCCTCATCCTCGTCGCTGGCCGAATCGGAGACAGGCGCATCTATGACCACATAGCCACGTGGTCTGCGCACTTTGTTCTTGCTGCGCGACAAACGCTTGCGCAGATCCTGCTCGGTGGTTTCCAGTTGTTTGCGCAACTTTATGGCAACGGTGAGACTAACCAAGCAGCTGTTGCATATGAACTGCGGCATGAAGTCTTTGGGCGCTATCGACACACTGGGGCAAATGAGCACAAGCATGTCAGCCGGTGTGCTGTTTGTCTCGCCTGTCTTCGTGAAGAGGCTAACTAGCTGCTCCTTGGTTGTGCACACACGACACTGATTCTCATCCACCTGCTCCTCCTGGTTGCGGGCACCAGATCGTGCTCGGGCATTCGCTTCTTCTGATTGATCTCCTGCTGTGCCAAGCTCTGCCTGTGCATCGTCCCCAGTGATGAGTTCTCCCTCATCTTCCTCCTCCTCCTCCTCCTCATCCTCCAGATCTTCTTCCTCTTCGCCATCTGCTTCACCCTCGTCGCCATCTGCCTCTCCCTCCTCTGCTGCATCCTTCTCATCTGTGTGTGCTTCCTCTTCCACACTTAGTTCTTTCTCAGCTGTCACTGTTGAGGCCACTCCTGCTGCTGCTTCTTCATCCTTTGCTTCTTCTTCATTTGTCTGCTCATTTTGCGCATTGTTCTTGTCAACAGCTGCTGCTGTTTTTGCTGTTTTTTCGTTCTCAACCTCGTTTAGTTCTCTTTCGTCATCGAACTCATTCTCAGGCGTTTCGTCTTCGAGATATTCAGCTTCGCCCATTTCCTCCTCTACCTCCTCTACCGCCGCCTCCACCGCTGCCACCACCTCTCCTGCCACCGCCTGCGGTTCGACATGGGCGTCAGTGTTACCCTAGAAAATGTTATGCGTGTTAAGTTGTTTCTGTTTCTTAAGCCCCTCCCACTCGCAACGCACCTCCTCAATGTAAACATCAATATCGGCAGCATCTGCTGCTGCTGCTGTTGGTGCTGATGCTGCTTCTTCTTCTTCTTGTTCAACAGCGTTGTTTGCATCCCACACATTTGGGGAGGAAGTTGTCTGCGCCGCCTCCAACTCTATTGCGGTTTCCTTGCCGTTTGTGGCCACTCCATTTGTGGTTGCGGCAGCCGTTATTTCCTCTTCCATATTTTATGTTGCTTCGTGATTTTTGGCGCTTCAAGAATTACGCCGGCCCCAGCGACCAGCTCAATGTGAAAATTTCTGTTTTTCTCTCTCTTTCCCTCTCTCACAGCAATAAAACGATTGCGCTCCTTTTCTCTGTTCGCTAACTTACTTTTGCTTGAAACTGATGATTAGCTCTTTAATTATAATTTTTGATTTTTCATGACGCTTCAGCAGCAGACCCAAACATTTATTAATTTTTACAAAACAACGCCATATTGTATGAGTACATACACGCAGCCGACAGCTGTTCGGGTATCGATGACTGTGCGCATGTCAAAACAAATATCGATACACATTTAACGAACGATTGTTGCGACGCAAGCGCGCTAAACGAGAAAAATTCAAAAACGAAAAACGTTTTGAGTATTAAATGTGTTATATCAAAAAAATAGATGTGTCGTCGCTTATAATTTATTGTTGCAAAACAATAAGCGGTTACGTAATTGTATTAAAAACTTCAAGCATTGCAGTTGAATACAATTAAAGCTTAACGCACGACTTAATAAGTGGACGGCATAAACAGAAGCACTTCGCTGTTTTCATGACTTTCTAATGTCCAATAATGGATGAATCCACGAAATGGACGCCTCCACTGAAATTAAAATTCAAGGAAATGCCTTTCCGCATCCATTAAAATATTATTTAGATATAGTAGAAAAACCCTGGCGTCAATAAAAATAATGGGTTCGTTGTCAAGTGCGTTAAAGAAAAATAAATATAAAGCCCGGCCTCGCAATCCCGACATGGGTGAGGTATTTATTTCAATTACGCGAGCTCAAAGACCACAGTGTTGTCAAGAAAAAATGTTGGTGCTGTTAGGCAAAAAAAAAACTGCTAAGGTTGCCACATCAACATTCAGGACCCATTTGAAGGCAATTTGCGTTAACAGCTCCCCATCACTGATTCCTAGCCCTATTCAGCGTAGTGTATTTGTATATTTTTATATTCTGTATTCTCTACATACTTTTTTTTATTCCTTTTTGTGATATACGTCAACAATTATCGTCACAGAACGTGCACAGCACCTACTTGACATTAACATGACGAGTGCCGGGGGAGGGTGGATTGCTCCGCCCGGAAACGTGTCTGAGATTTCTGTATTATAGCGATAGCAAACGATGGCGGGGTTTGGGACCGGTCGTGTAAGCAACAAGATAAATAAAGCGTTACGTTACCTCTGGCAGTGATAAAAAATGTGCGACGATGTCAACTGACAAGCGCATTCCCCGAACGGAGAAGACATCGGCGTCACAACATGATTAATTATGCATGAGTTACTCGCAGCAAACCAACTCAACCACCCACCAACCAACAATCCAACAACCCAGTCACATAACCACCCAGTTAGCCAACAAACCATATATAAGACAAACATCAGCATATGCTACCATGACAAAGGCTTAAGCGAATTTTTATTTTTCTCTTTTTTTTATATTTTTGTTTAACTGTATAGTGTTTCAGAATACAGTCCTGTTGCTTAAGGTACAAATTCCAAGGACTCTGTGCTCGTCACAAAACGCGCTTTGAGTTTCCAATTTAGACTACCTTAACTAGCAACTGTAAACCATAAAACAATAAGGTATAGTCGTATTGAAAGGACAAAACCAGCTTGCTTTATAATTATGGCTGCCTTTGAACATGAAACAGGAGCAAATAATTGAATTAAACAAACCCTTTCATCTGACAACGACTGCAGCACGTTCATTTACTTAGCAATGCAAATGGGTTAGAAACGTTGTTGAGAGGCGGTAGCGAAATAGAGATAAGATACAATATGCAATTACTTATCACTGTGGTTGGCAATCCAGTCTCATTACGGTGCCTAAGGAGATTAACAAGAGACAATGAGTATTACGTAAATAATCTGCTATCAATGAAATGTAGATATTTCGCAATAGTAATTCACATAACATATGAAATATGTATGCAAAAGTAGTTGGATTTGCAACGAGCATTTAGCGTCGAGTTTGCATTTGCTTTTACATCGGATTATTCACGGCACAGTAAATAAATATTTAATGTTTGGTGGCCTTCCCAAAATGAATTGAGCTTTATTTAGTTATTTCATTTTCTAGTTTCAAATCGTTCAAATACCCTTTTAAAATTGCTGTTTAATTTCTAGCATTCATTTGCTTAAAAGTGTTTCGTGATTAGGATCAACAGCAAAGTCCTTCTATCCGAATTTGATGGTCTCAGAGATTATAAAGCTATTCGAAATTTAGAATACAAGTACCATAAGCAAAACAAGCTTATTTTATATAACCAATAACTTCAACAGCTCATGAATATCGATATAAATCGATTTCCAATAGTTATGAATACCACAAATTTTGAAGATATGTTTTTAAAATCAAAACCTTGGGGAAATTAGCGAGAACTGAAGGCTAATAAGTAAAGACTTAAGTTCAGGATATCCTCTATTCGAGCTCACTCGACTAAAGTATTCTTGCTCTTTTAATTTTAAATATGTTATATAATTAAACTAATAGCCTTTGACACCAAATTTGATATCAGCAAATTTAGGGATTATTTTAGCAATTTATTCATTGATTCCGAATAATAGCAAAATTGTTCAATAATTAAAATATAATTGCACTCGGGATTCAGCAGTTGAACAAAAGAGAAACGTGCAAAACAGGAGGGATAAATTTACATGTTGCTGCAGCAATAAACATTGAATTTCTATGCGAAACACTAAGCACGATTTAAACGACCGTCGGGATTTTATTGTGTTCTATCCACACGTCCCTTAAATAAGCAAGCAAAAAATATAAAATCAGAATTTAAATCTTAAAATACGTGAAAAGGTCGCTAATCTGCCCTTACTGCCCTTTGCAGTGTGCATTTTCATAGGTCGTTTGCACCAACTTCTTAATAAATGCTTTTCTGTCAACAAAGAATGCCTTACTGTCTGGCCCTTAAAGTTTAAAATTGTTGCAGTTGACACGATGCCGCTCAAAATACGTGTACACAATGTAAAAGACATAAGCCAAAAGTTGTGTAAACAAAACTTCATGTCGCCGAATGAATACCTTTGCTGCTGACACCTCAGCTCAGTAAATCAAAATATTTTTACGCAACACGGTCACGATGGCGACGATAATAAGACATATTTGCATGTTGTTAAATTTAAAGCGCCAGAAATCTATGTGCGAATGTGATCTGGTAACCAAAAAACACCCACATGAGAAGTGTGCAATTTAAAGGACAACACACAAAAAGAAATTCAATTTGATCCCGCCTCAAAGTATGCCACATTAAACTGTGTGGGTTACTCGGCTTGTATATTATCTGATCTCATTTTATTCATTTACTCGTATTTAGTCGGCAGCTTGGTTGCCAAGGTTGGCAACAATATTAATCAAACTCAGACGGCATATTTGTAATTAAATGATCAGAAGCAGGTCGAACAATTATGGTAAATTAATTACATATTCAGCTGTTGACAATGAGTGGGCATTTTGTGTGTGCTTGTGTGTGTGTGTGTGTGTAGTAGAGGAGGAGTAGACAACTTGGAGCAATTCGAATGTAATTAGAGATTGTATTGAAAATAGAACAAGACTTGACAACAATTTACAATTTACATTCTGTGTACTTGGATGGGGACTAATGCTAATTAATGCCACATCAATCAAGTGAAGAGCTGAGACTTTTCGCACCATAACGAATTTATACAAACAAGCAGAGCATTATTTTCATTTCAGAAATTACTTGACTTCACACATAATCCTTTGTGGGACTTTTGCTTACGCTCCTAGCGGGTAATGCCTCAACTTCAAGGGATAACAAAAAAATAAAAAAAAAAACAAAAAAAATAAATAAAAGAAAAAATAAAAACATCAGGGCCATCAACAAGCAATTTTTTTATAAGCGCATAATTTGAAAAAGCCCTGGAGTAATATGCTTATGTTCAGCAGCTGCCTTTGTCCTTATTGTGCCGCCATTGTCCTTGTTGTTATTGCTTGCGGTTAACTCTATGGGTGTGTGCGAGCGACTGATTCTACAGCTCTGTTTCAATGTCTATATGTATGTGCGTGTGTGTGTGTTGGGACTGTGTCTGTTGTCCTAATACCCCAAAGCAGAATATTTTGTGCTTTTGCTAAATTTAACATTGGACAAATTATCTAAATAAGCCGAGGGGCGTAAACAAAAATGCCAGCACAGATAATGAATTACAATGCCAAAGAAAAAACTCGAATATGGTCACACCTTATTATGTCATAATCAAATAATTTGCTGGATATAAGAGATACATAGTCCAACTATGTACAAAACTTTTCGATCTGCTGTTAGTTTATGAAATGCCCAGCCCCAGATGGAACCGCTGATGGTCATTATGAATATTGACTGTCAACTGGCGTATAATGGACTATATAACTGGCGAACTATAATAAAATGTGCGATAAGCTGCTTTATTTCACTGTACGGCTACCTAATTAGCTTTCCGATCGATTAACAATTCATATGCCATATGCCAGTATACAACCTGATTCCCATACACCCATACAACAATGTGATAATCACAATCTGCTACAATGGCAACAGAACATATGAAGAAACAGTCTGGTCTTGGCATGTTTCGCATTTATATCAATCAATTAGGATGCCGTCAGTTTTGTCAAGCCGGCACGTGTCTGCATTAGCATTACGGACTGTTTTATTGATCAAAATGTCTTTTATCAGGCCCATAAAATGTGAGGGATGAAGCATGGTAAATTTCAATCAGCGGGCGTGTCAAAAATTCATAAAAGCTAATGTATATATTTTGAATAACTCGGATCCCAACACTTACCAAAATACACAAATACTCAAACGTAATCTTTTGGAGTTTGTTGTTTGGCAGCTGTTGACTGTTTGAAGGACCCTTAAACACCACCATGGAAAAGGAATTGCCAATTTTGAATTGATACCCGCACTTTGCTGGGTATATACATTTTGTACACGAAAAATGTGTAGACCAGAAGCGAATATTAAATACAAACACAATCTAATTTGTATTACATATTTAAAAAACCAGATTCTTCCTATGATCAGTTTCTGGATATATTGTAAAAGATAAACGCTCTTATACAAAATTTCGCCTTTCGACATATTTATTTAGTTCGAATACAATAATATAATAGAATATATACTTCTGGGTCTCAACTTCCTCAAAGAGTTACATACTTTACGATGAAATTAAAATACCCTCTGAAACGTTATAAAAAGTAATAAAATATAAAACAAAGAAAAGAAGCATGACTACAAGCGGTATGAGTAATTTTATACTCAAACATGAGTGTCTTGTTTATAAAAGGGATTAATATTGAATAATTTATAAGCTTTCAACATTTAAAATTCTATTCTTTTTCGAAGGTCGCTTAAGCCCTTGTCTTGTCCTGATATTTAGGAAAATCCATAAAAACTCGATTCTGTTCTAACAATTTTTGAAGGCCGGTTTAGATCTGTTGCAGCCCCGTTTTCTTTGTTTTTAACATTTATTATAAATGTATTATTAGATTAGTCGTCGCATGCGATTTTACTTTCTTTGGGCGACAAATTAGGCAAACCGGCTTGTTTATAAATCAATAGTCAGAACAAAGGCGACAAAATCGCATTAATAAACGATTTTGGTCTTTGATCTCGAGCGCCATCTAATTAAAAACCGACCTGGAGGAAAAGCCCAAGCCGCAAAAATGCAGAACAAAACAAAAAGAATAATAGAACAAAAATAGCTGTGTTGCGTACAATGATCCGTAGAGATACTAACCAAAAGTAGATCTCCGAGGCACAACAAGAATCAGGAATCAGACCAACCCAACATATCATGAAAAATATGTAAATAAAATGTCAAAAAAAATTATATTACAAAAATTATTTATATATTTATTAATTTACTCGTCGCGCTTTTTGTTTAATTTCTTTGCTATTGGAATTCCCAAGCCATCGGACTTTAAGCGTTTGTTCTTTTGCGAAACCAGTTTCTGTTTTTTTTTTTTATATATTTTTTGTATATAATTTGGTCGGTCGAGTGTTGAGGGCGATTAGAAAGAGGATTATATATTATAGAGCATTTGGGGGCCTGCATATTTGTTTGTAGACGTCGCGCCGTCTAAAATTATAGACTGCGACGCGAAACAAGAATCCAACTCGGTAAACAGCTGATACTTGCGGCTTTTTGGTATTTTGGTTCTTAGACGTCATTGATTCCATCTTTCTCTGGCAACACTTGCCATCCGATTGGTATAAATAGCGCGTGCTTTGACTTGACTAATTAGACTTAACCCGAGGTTCAGCACAGCAGCACGGCACACAACAAAACCACAATCAAACTTCTTGCAAAAATGTCGAAATTCTTTGTGATCGCTTTAATCTTTGCCGCCGCCATCCTTTACTTGGCTGACGCAGCACCCGCTTCCAATCTTTTGGACGCAAAGGCAACCATCGATGCGATTATTGGTAAAATATGAAACTGTTCTCAGTTTAAAGCCATGGGTTAACTTACTTTCCTCCCCGCAGCTTCCTACAATCAACACTATCCAGGACACTCGGTCGTTCATCCCTGGGAGGTGGCCTCAGTCATCGATGTCCACACATTCCATCCCAATTTACACTTCAATTAAATGACAATGTTTATACATTCATAGTCCTAACAATCCTGTTGACCACCTAATGTTGTGTTTTATGCCTATTGCATTTAGTTATTAATTAAAAAAATTTTAAAAAAAAATAAAAAATAAAAAAACCAATCAAATTATAAATGTCTATTCTTGTTTATTGGGGATTTTATCGAACTGTTGCATTTAAATTCCCAACACATATTTTATTTTGATATTTCACAGCTTAGTGACAAGTCAATTAGAGTCAATTAGAGTTAAGAGCGCAGGAACATTAATATTAATAAGATAATTAGTAAATAAAAACCATGAAGCCTATATTAATGTATGCATTTTTTAATTACCCAATTGCGCCACACATTCGAACAAGAAATGTTTGAATGTTTCATGCTTTTGGGTATTTTGGAGCAACTGGTTCAAAATATAAATGCCAACAAGTTCATCGGGAGAATAGGAATGTATACACAGACGTACATGTTAAATACCATATGCTGATGATATGGAAATATCGCCAATCCATTAACTCAAAACATTTTAGTTTTGTCTAGATATGAATTTATAATGTAAACATTTTGTTTTTATTTTTAAATGCTCAATAAATAAATACTCATAGGGAGGTCTAGCTACAATTCAATTCTGTAGTTGTATCGAAGAGATATGTTTACGAAAACTTTGAAAACATTAAAACGGAAGAATAACAAACCAAACCAAGACTAGAATTGTGCAGGGCAAATCTTAAATATAATTCCAACTAATGCCACTCAAAGGAAACAGAAATTGTTGCACATATATATAATTTTGCAGTAGTATTTCTATTTGCCAAGTTGAGTTCAAATGTTTAATGAATTTAAATGAAACTTCTTACTCAATGGAAGCTGCATCTGCAACATACAAAGTTGTCTGTGTGGATATGCAATTTATATAAATGCGATCATAGAAGCTTAAGAGAAAACTGAAAATGTTTGCTATACTACATCATTGCCAATTTTGCCCCGGCATTTTTATTACAATCTGGACGAGTCAACATAGTGTGTGGGACATGAGATTGGTATACATGGCCACTGCAACTCTTTTCGAAAAATGTCTCAAATGCAAACTTAAAGTCATATACAATTTGGCACAGTTTTACACAACAGCCAGTCAGTCAGCCAGCAAGCAAGCCAGCCAGCAAGTGATGCTTAAGCTTGCCAGTGAATATAAAATACGTTGAATATAATAAAGTAAAAGCACTTAAGCAGCACAAGAGAGCCCCGCACACAGTGTGAGGCATCTTAGGGAAATCCACTTGTGAGTGCACACAGTTTAAGGAGAGCAACTTTAGGGATGATGTGGGGCCGATGATGTGGGGCTGATGTGCGAGGCTGATGTGGGGCTGATAAATGCGATTTGCAAGACAGATTCGATGGTCGAGCAGGAAAAAGTTTCGCTGCTTTGCGTTTTGCAATTTTGAACCGAAGTGTGTTTATGCAGCACTCGACGCACAACTAACTAACTACAATTTACTGTGGCCTTCAAAGCATGCGGCATGCGGCATGCGGCGAGGCTGTTTATACTGATAGTTTACTATCTGTTTGACACTGGCTAGTTGCTTAACAATGTGCTCGCTCTTACTACCATATTTATGACTTGCTGCAATAAAAAGATTTTGGGCTTGACATGAAGTGCACATATTAAATTGTACACCGCCCACCGCCCACCACCCACCGCCCACTGACCATTGCCGAGTGCCTACTGCTCAGTCAAGTAAAATAAATTGCCACATATGGTGGATGGCACGTGTGCATATTGTATGAGCCAAGGGCAAATACCGTTATGGCCATTGCAGATACATAAACAACAACAATAACAAACGCCACCCAAGGTACCCACAAACAAGCAAATATATTCACAAAAGTCACACAATACGTTGTTCTACTCGTTGTCTATTCGTTAGCCGGGTAATTGCATTTGGTATTGAATTTTTGGAATAGTCGAAACGAATCCTTAATAAAGCAGAGCAAGTGTCATGTGTGATTTCGTGTAAAGGAAACTTTGGACAGCCTAAAAGTTTATCACTTGGTTTGCACTCTGATAATAAAGACAAATTGAGTAGGCTTAATTATTGGTTATTATTCAAAGTTCTGCTCGAGAGACACTACAATGACCAGATCTCCATGAGACTCAAGTGCATCGTAAAACTCATTGGGATTGATTAGTTTGCTTACACAACATCCATATACTGGTAGTGCTATTAAACTTGTTCGGACTACTTAGTTATTTTATGTCTGTGGAAATAGTTTCTTTTACGACTGTTGTCGTATTTAATGGGTCTCCCACATGTCATCTGTTTGTTGTTTGCAGCTTTAAATATCTCAGACATACCAAACAACCATACCAGAAATTCCCAACGGAATCTCAAGCCTTCAAATAAACAAAAACAAACCAAAAACCCACACATTTATTTGCATGCGCCAAGAGTATAAATTTCTTAACAACTCAAAATACGACAACAACAACAACAAAATTATAAAACGGGATAGAAAAATGTAAATTTGCATTGCTAATCTCAAATCGCTCCATTATTAATAGATTGACTTACCTGTAGCTCGTTATCTTATCTTATTTCACAATCTGAACGACGGCTTTAATTATGCAAATTACTGGCGCCACCAAAATGTGCTAAAAAAAATCGAGAAAAAAAAATAACATGAACAATGAGAACCGTTAAAGGCGCTTGAGAAATTGCCATTTGATGTAACCCTGTCAATTATATTACAAATGGAAATGCCAATTTTACATGGATCAAGCTGTTTAACAAGCATGCCTTTACCCTGTATTGTTTACAGACTGTAGCTGTATCATCTGTTGAATATAAAGCTGTCAGCAGCAAAAGGCGGATCATATCAGTATATATCTTTAAATCTGAGCAACTAGTTGGCTTAGCTGTAATTATAAACAGAGCCACTGCCTTCTTAGAAATAAACAATCCGTTGAAAAAGAATTCCTAATTTTGTTTGATTGTATTAATTTGTGCACTTTAAAAATCACGCTTACATTGAACTAATGACTATTTATTAAAATTTTATTAATAAAACTAGAACCAGTGCTTTAATCAATTTGATATGTATTTTTTGGTTTTTCTTCGACTTCAAAAAACCTAATTCGAAATATTTATAGTTGCTTACTCGACCAATTAATTATATCTTATCTTGAAGAGGATCATTTTTTGATATATGGAATCTCAATTTAATACATATAACAGCTGAGTTTTGGGTATCTCCAAGTCGAGTTATTTAGACTAGCGCATTCTTACTTGTTTTTGAAATTTAACAACTCTGTTAAAATGGCTATAAATAATTTATTGCTGTACTAATTGTTTTTTATGGACAGTCAATTTTGAAATTACGCGTCTGTCTTTCTTATCATTCAGTTCATTAGTGGTTGTTTTGTGTACTGAAAGATTACTTCATTTATACATATATATATATATATATATATTGGAACAACAAAGGAATGTCAGACATCAAATGCAATTAATTAATTTCAAATGACGGATTCCGAAACTCGTTGAATAAGTTAATTAACAGCAATTGGCATTAATATGTATATATATATATATAATATATCTGCTTTAATACATTTCTTACATTTACATTTATGAAAATTGCAAAAGTCTGACTATGAATTTTATATGAAGCCAATAAATGAAAATATTAAATATGCCTGATGGCTGTCTGGCGCCATTTGTGTGACATTTTAATTATGCTTTTAAATAAGCGTGCACAGCATTAAAAATAATTTTACTTAACTTAAGTCGTTTGTTCATAGTTACTGTAATGCTTGGCAATTAATTAATTATGCAAGGGAAAAAATCACACAAAAAAGCAAAACTAAATTGCCCCAAAAGATATACTAAAAAAAATTTAATCAGCGCAAACATGAAAAAATTAACTTTAGCACATGATGTGTGTGATTTTTGTTTAGATGTATGTGAGTGTATGAGTGTGTGTGTGGTGGGGAGGGGTGTGTGGGAGACTGGCGAATGATGTATTTAATACTCAAGTCTCTCAAGTTCTCAGCAGTTGTGCGAGAAGTCTACTAATGGAAAAGTTTTGCTCGAGTTAAAGCACGCACCGAATATTGAATATATTTTTTGGATGGGATTAAGGCCGGATTCGTTATTGTGTGTGTGAGTGTGTGTGTGTGTGTGTGTGTGTGTGTGTGTATGTTTTTGTGTGTGGGGTTATGTGTGTCTATACGGTACATTGATTTCAATTCATTGAAACCTTGTTGTAGCAACAGCCGCAAACATTTTTTACATCCTCGGGAGAGAGTTTTTTCCGGTATTTGATTCGCAAAGGCAGACAAAATGCTGTCTACTTAAGCGCCCAAATCTAATCCATAAAGGCTGGGTTGGCTGCCGACCTTAGCCAAATGTGCCATTACCCACATCTAACGATGAACTGGTGCTCAGTCATCGACTGCGGCAGCGCCACCGCCAGCGGCATCGCAAGCGGCATCGTCAGCACAATGTCAGACACATCCAAGCTTTTGTGCTGGCCAGCGCATCATCATCATCATCATCACATAACAGGTTCTTAGCACCGGCGTGAGTGCACTCAAAAAAAAAACAATCGTAAAAAGGTAATTTCAAGTAAAAATAAAGAATTTAATAGTTTTCCGATGTTCTTTTTGTGCAGCAGGATAGAATAAAATTCATTCTAAAATTCACAAAGAAGCAAGAAATTTGCTGTGTCAACTTCTATTAAACTATAGAAATTAGACATATATATTATTTTTTAATGTTTGTAAAATCCACTCTCGAAATAAGAAAAGAAATTCACTGTATTTTAGAAAGACTCAAACTTTCAATGTAGAAATCTTAAAGACCCATCTTTGTCTCGAGATTCCTTGTGATTTTTTTTTTTGAGTGCACGCACATAAAAAGTAAAGGCAAAACAATTAAACGCATTCCAAGCAGATAACGTGCCAAAAAAAAGAGAGAGAAAAAAAATACAAAGCTAAGTTGAATATGGTCCGGGAGTCTGAGTTGGTCCTAATGCCTTTCTTCTGGTTTAAGTAACTCTTGGTTGGCATACTTTGGTAGTTGGCACATTGTTATTGTGAATGTGATTAGGGGCACTTATGCTGAGGCGGCCTATTACCATAATCACAAAGTACACATAATATATTCCACATCATATCTTGATAATTATAAGTAAATACCAACTAAACCAGAGACTCGACCGAAGGTCAGGGTTCTGCGTCCATGTTTTTTACATTGATTCTCCCGTCAACAAGGAGCCGCGGAAACCCTTGGAGTGCCCAGCAAAAAATTTGAAAATAAAGCGAGCGTGCAAGAGAATAATGATTTAGCTGAATGATAACGACTTCACTTTACTCTCTACAAAACCCCAAACTTTATTCAATTCATTCTGGACGTTTTAAAATATGAGTAAGATTATTCAGATGGATATACTGTACGCATACCAATACATTATGCATTCATCAACTGCTGAACGTTGCTTCTGTTGAAGCAAGTTCAGAGAAGAAGCCCTTGCGGGATTTATGCTCGAGGCCAGGTTAAATTGGGAGGTAAATTTGAGCAAACGACCATCTCTAAGTAAATAGACGAGCACTTGGCAACCTGCTCATAATTGTGCCTGTTGTTGTTTATAACGAAATCAAGTATACGTTCTGTTGGCTTACTGTTGTGATTCTCAAGTTGCCGTGTTGCTAAAGCAACTCTCAATATCCATTTGTGAAATTAAAATAAATAGAAGCAACTATTTGACAATGAAATTGAATATGTTATCCGCATCCAGATTGAATTCAGAGACCCGGATCACTTACAGGTGTGCCATGCAAATTTTGTTGCTGTCTTTGGTTTTTTTTTTCGGTATTCCTGTCGATATTATTACATTGAAAGTTATTCAAGTTACAAGGTAAGGTCGAGCATAAATTGCAATTCAAATAGAAACCAGATGAGAAAGCCATCAAGAATTAATTTATGTAAGTATGTATTTATGTGCATATTGAATGTCATACAAAAGCCAAATAAGGAAAAAACACACAACACACACAAAGACACACTGATAAGAGTAACATTATTTGTGATTGGTGATTTGTTTTCCCGTTTCCCTATGGCGATGCCAGATAGCAGGGATACGATAATATCAATATTATATTCGTGGTTGGGTTAGGACTGTTTGGTTGTTTGGTTTGTTGACAGTATTTTTGTTAACGCCCTGTGAATGTGCTTAGCTATCTGCTATTTTTGTTACAAATGAATCCACTCTCACACGCACAGACACAGCACATTGCTTAACCATAAATCAAAGGGTGTTGCTGCTGTTGTCCTGCTGTCAAGCTCTCTGTGGCAACAATACACTGCTACACAACATTGTCCTGGCCTGGCGTCACTGGGGCGACTCGACGCGAATCATTTAACGCGTGTCCTGCAAGCAACGAGCACATATTATGAAAATTATTGTGTCTCTTGGCTCTTGCTTTCGATTTACCAGGTTCGTGTCTTTTTGCGCAGCTCATTCATCAAACAATGCACAGGACACACTTAACTTGGCTATCTGGCTGACCTTGTTACCACGAAAACCCACACACTTCACTGCTGTTTATTTAATGTCAAACGAGTGCGTGGATGTCGATGTGGCTCTGGATGTGGCTGTGTGTGCGTACTTAATGAAGCCCATCGAATTGGCCTCTTTTCATTCCTTCATTTTCAGGCCAATATTGTGTTAGCAATTATGAAAATTAGGCCAGCAGTCAAATAAAGAATGAAATATTGAATGAATTGATTAGTGCTGTGTATTTGTTAATTAAGAAGCAAAGCTCTGCTTCAGTTCACTAATTAAACAGCGATATTAACACAATAATAATATGGAATTACTCGATTGTTTAAACTTTAAGTCCATGTGGACATCGTGAAACAATAGATTTCATTTAGTTTGATCATGATGCAGCTCAATTGAAATGAGGCTGCAGAATAAATCACAAAGCAGCAGCAAGGAAACCTATACACAATGAGCCTGAATGAAGGGACCAAGTGGTAGGGGAATCGGCATGGCAATGTTAGTGGTTTGAAAGGTAGACAACTTAAGCCAAGTGCTGCGACGTAATTCCTACTCCTACCCCCCTCCTACCCCATTTGCCATCGATGTGGCGTGGCAATTGCCAATTCATTTAACGTTCATTTATAACGCTTTAATTTATGCAAATTGAAGGCTGTTCGACCGCGTTTTATCGTTCGCAATAGCCTTGGCACATCCTGTTACACAAACAGGACACTATTTGGCGCCGTCATCCAATTAATATTTCAATACTTTCAAAGTTGTCGCCCTTAATTTGGCTCAGACATTGAACCCTAAACAAAAAATAATGGCACCATCTGATAGACAACATGTTCATAACCTGCCCGTTTCAGACTCTCCTTTCCTTTGATGATGCCAAGAGCTAAAGCATTAACTTACAGTTGAACACTTCCGATTATGTTCAATAGGGTGCGTTATTTTAACTGCTGCAACCAAATGCAAATGCAACCAATGCAAACGAAGTGCAATCAAGCAAATCATTTCATTGCTCGCGAACATTTCAGCTTTAATTTAATTGTACTGCGCTGCTGGGCGTTCATTGACTTCTGAGTGAATAGCTAAAAATGTCTG